GGCTGTCCTCGTCCGATCCACGTGTACCGCGCGACCGGGGCACGGTGTGGTCAACAGGTAGAGAGACAGACAGGTGGCCGGACGATATATTCATGATGTCGGCCGGTACACGACACAATCCCGTGTGGGGCACGCACCGTCAGTGCCTCGCGGCGTCTCGAATACGCGCGCGAGTTCGAGCTATCCAGCAATCGGAGTATACAGAGGTGTCGACAGAGGTTGAGATACGGTGTTTCTAGGTGATATGGACGAATGATCGAATAGTGCTTGTGAAACCCATTTTTTTTGTTTATGGATTTGGGAAAATTGCGGGTGTAAAGTGTGTGGTGATATGAGAACTGTGATCAGTAGGACGTGAACAGTTTGGGGAGATTGTTTGGGCGAATTTGGATTGCTTGAGTTTTGGATTGATAGCAATGTTAATACTCGGAAATTAATTCGGTGCGTGTGGTAACGTGGGGATGTGTGGATTACAGATGCCTTTGCGATTTTAGAGGTTTTGAACGGGAGCTTTGGTCTGTGGAGACGGTGAGGACGTGGGTGGAAGATTAGGAATCACGTGGAATTAGGAATTACCTGGAAATCAGTTGGATGCATTTGATAAGGCAGTGTTGTGTAGATCCTTTTCCAATTCTGTACTTTTGCAAGAACCAGAATTGAACAGAAACGTGTTAATCTGTTTAGAATTTGAGGACGTTGAAGGTAGACCAATAATCACCTGGATCTAAGATTTCTCTGGGAATCAGAATTAAACAGAAGTGTCTTGTTCCGTTTAGAACTTGAAGACGTTGGTGGTAGACTAACAATCACCTGGAAATCAGTTTAGTGCAAGTGATTCTGTAGTGACGTGTAAGTTTTCTGCATGAATGATAATTGATAAAAAACGTGTTGTTCCATTTAGAACTTGAGGAGATTGAAAGTGAACTAAGAACCTACAATTACGAATTACCTGGAAATTACTTTGGTGCAAGTGACATGGCTGTGGTGTCTAAACTGCACGTCTTTTTGTGATTTTACGTATGAACGAGGATTGAATAGAAGCGTTTTGTTCTGCTAACAACTTGAGGATATTAAAGATGAACTAAGAATCTAGGGATGCGTTCGAAGTGTTCTCTCAATTACCATAAGTTTTTACTTAAGGATTCCATGAAGTGAACGAATGTCTGTGATTGAGTATTCGATATCGTGATTCAGACTACACACGGAGTTAATAGTCGAAGTGGTGACTCGATAATAATGTTCGATGGGTGACAGACAGTGATCCATTCGTGACGTTAGACCCGATTAGTGTCGACTAGAGGATTCAATGGCGAGGGAGATATTTTTTTGAAGCATCCTTGATAGCCGTGAAAGTGGAACAAAGTGCGTTTCCAAGGGGCTTTTGTTACGGAAAGAGCATAGGCGGGATTCCTTTGTTCCATCGAGGACGGGCAGATGTAAGTGTTAGTCGATATTTATGTCAAGTGTTCTTCTGCCTCTGCACGTGTGGAAGGAATCGTGGCCTTGCGATTAAGTGTACAATATGAAGTTATCGTTGAATTCTTGGTTTCTCGAGGCTCGTTGATCCTTTATATTCTGAACCGTGCTTGATGCGTCACGTTCAAAAATCTGGAAACATTTGCCGTCTGAAAAATTACCATTTCGTGAGACGTGGACGTGTCATTTGTTTAGAAAGTAACGTATAAAAACAGTTAAAGAACACATTTACAAAATCGTGTTCACTTGGTTATTTATTCTAAAAGATCGAGGTACAAATTTGTATAGAATGAAATATTTTTTTCTCATAAGCCGATGTTAATTCGTTAAAATGTATTTTCCTATGAGTATTCTTATTAATACTTTTTTTTATAATTTGTTTTAATTTTTCAATTACTATTAAAATTATTATTGTCCATTCGGACTAATAGCTTCAAAAAAATTAAAGAAACTAGAAAAATATATAATTACTTCTGTTATGCATACACTGATTCAAAAAGAAATTAATTTTGTACTAAATCAACCTTTACAATAATCATGAAAACTTTCCCAAAATCGAAATTAAAACGCGCTTAATAGTTCAAGAATTATTCAGAAGAAATATAAAAAAGAAATTTCTCTCTCAAAAAAAGAACGATTTCGTCAAACAGCCCAAGCATACTTTCGGTTCGTGTTTCTCCAAATTTTTACTACCCGACCAATTCAGATCTCCACTTAAGCTCCTTACCGTTGGTCAGAAAATATTTTCCCCGCCCATCGATTCACGGAGACATTCGAGAAAATATTACATCGTTTATTTTTACTAGTTTCCGCTCGATGTACTTTATATTACAACGGCTACTCGTTCTGAATTAGAGTGGCCGTCGAAGATTACGGGGGCGAGACTGTCGATATTGTCAGCGATATGGGAGAACGGTAAATTGCACGCGTGTTAGTACACCGCGCACGAAGAGTCGGAGAATATTCGTTCGATAATATTTGAAATGATATTGCGGGCCGTTCTCTAAACACGTGCAAATTCGCCCGGCTGGGAATTATCGTGGCCGAGGCTTTCGTATTTGTTGAAGCAGAAATGACGCTGTGTATCCGCCAGTTTAATAACATTAAAGGATTTAAGTAAGGAGATTTACGAGCACAATTTACTGGCTGAAATCAAATAAACTGTGTACAGTTCCAGCGATACGGAAATCGTGGTCTTCGCTTTAATGTCGTATGGAAATTGGAAAATAATATCGAATGTATAATATCGAATCCACATCCATAAGCTGTTAAAGAGGTTATATAACCACGTGATTATTAAAATTAATTAAGACTATACATACCTATAAAAAAAGAGTACAATTAATGTTAATACAATTCTATGAAAAGAAGGTCACGAATTAACTTGTACACCTAATAGAATCCAATAAAATCCCATTTCTTATCCATTAAATAATTCATTTCAAAAGCAACCCAAGACAGTTCGAGCCACCGTTAAAACTAACATTCCTCTAATCCGTCCTCTTCTGTCATACAGATAAAACACAAGCATCGCACACGATATTAGAGGAGGAACCACCAGGTCTCAATGATGCTTCAGACGTTCACCCGGCTCCATTCGAGCTCACCCTCGTGGTCGAACGAAATCCCGGTCGCGAACGATGACCCATAAAGGACGCCTCTAAGCCCCGTCCGAAGGGGGCAAGACCAACAGTGCCGTGGAACAATCCGCAATCAGGATGGTGATCGCTAGCACCGGATCACCCGGCGAGACCGCCGTGTCAAACACGTCCGGCAAGCTGAGAAGGTCCCGTAGATTGTCTTCGACCAGAGGGCTGAAGTTGCGCACGGCCGCAAACACAGCTGGGCAAGCGATTCCCCGGCAAGATCTCAATCAGAAGCTCGGTCTCTGTCCCATAGTTAGCAGAAACGTGGCCGATACAAAGGGTGGCCGGCCAGCGATCAATTGGGAGCTGAACGAAAGGATCAGCTTGAGCAGCGGATCCAGCACAGGTCTGGCAGTCCGACCAGACTCCAGAAAGGGGATCGAGTTCAGCGGAAATCGAAAGAAACCGGAAATCGATGGGAACCAGGCCATCAACGACAACTCGAACGAGCGTCGCGGGACCCGACACGTTAGAGCCGACCTGGAGCTGATGAACGTGTCTGGCTTTCGTACGGACGCCGATAAGAAACGTCGTGGCTCCTGGTCGATCGAGGTGGACGTGGTAGGGAGACCAGACGCGCAGGAGAACGTGATTAAAAGCGACTCGAAGTACGAGATCGGAACACCCAGCGAGGGTTCCTCGGTCACGAGGAAGCAAAGACGTTCCGTTGGGTCGACGAAGAGTCGGATGTCAGGCCAGAAAGAGGAAGAAGATACCGTGAATGGGAAATGGGGCAGGAAAAAGATCGATAAGACGAACGACTCGATCTCGAAGAGGCTGGAGCTGATTCACGAATTGAATAAGAAGATCCTGGCGAACTACGAGAGGTTCCAGCAGAAGTCGAAACGGAATCACACGAAGGAGATCGAGAACGGTGTAACGAAGGATATAGAAAAACGGACGACCTTGAACGATGAGAAAGAACGGAAAGAGGATCGTCTGTATGCGGAAGCAAACCGTAAGAATCGAACGAAGACGGAGTGCCTGATCGAGGCTAGTCAGGATTCGCTGAGGCAGCGAAAAGTGGACGTCAACAAGTTCACGTTCTCCAAGGATCACTGCGAGAAGCTAACCGGCGGCTCGAAGGATCGTGTAGAATCGTTCGATAAGAAACGAACGAAAACGTCCGCGAAGTCCAGGATCCTTTACGATAATGAGAACTTCATCATGGCGGCGAAGCCTGGTTTCTACGGGCCGGAGGACGATAAAGTCCGGCTGGCTGGCACGAGGACCGAATACTCTATGAAAGGAAAGAAGACAGAGGGAAAGAAGTCTCACACGAGCGCCGTTTTTTACACGAACGATTCAACGGAGAGGCACGTAGACGCGGCGATCAGCGAAGACACCGATTGTCTAGGGAGCTCGAGATTATACCCGGAGAGCTGCTACACCAATCGGTCTAACGAAGTGAAAATCGATGACGGGAACGGCCCTGGTCGCGAGACATCGAACGTACCGGGGAATCGCGACGAAAGGGAAACACACGATGTGAACGGAATCGATCAGCCGGATGGGGACAACGAAGTGGGGAATGGGGCCGTGGCGATCGATCAGGAAGCCTTGGAGCACGAGATACTGGAGAGTCTGGACGAGGCAATCGACAGATTCGATAACGAAAAACCGGACGGTAAGGTGATCATCGAGGTCGAGGAACCGCTGGACGACCGGAAGATCGACAGTTTCAGCAGCGATTCGATAGAGTGCGAGAGCCCATTGTCTGACACGAGAAGCCCGAAAGTAGCCAGGCTACAGGAGACCTTCAATTCCTCCTGGGACTCCGGTGTCGGTGTGGATGTCGGGACCGGAAGCGGATGGGTCAGGATCCACACCGGAATCGAGAGCAGCCTCGTCTATCTTACCGTGGACACCACAAGCAGGGATGTCTGCAGGGACATGCTGTTAGGCGACGACTTGTCTCTGTTTATACAGGTAAGGGGACTCGAACTTACGACTAATTAACGATTTGATTTACGGGAGAGAGCGAGTGTAAGTTGCGCGAATTCTGGGTGATAGTTGGACACGTTGATAGAGGATGCTGGGGGAATATATGATAATTGGACTGCTGATATTTTCGGTATTTGTAGTGTTTCGTGGATTGCAAAATGCAATAGAGGAACGATTTTAAAGGAAATAAGTGTTTTTTTACGTGTTATTTTGAGGATACTGAAATCCTCGATTCGAACAATTTCGAATACGAATAATTTATTCCAAGAATTCGAATAATTCGAATAGTACGGAGTATTCGAATAGTATAGAGTATTCGTATTATTTGAACATTCGAGTAAAAGAATTGTACTGAATGGAAATTTGAAAAACAAATAATTGTAAAGGCCAGTATGAAAAGAATTTCACGTTAAAGTGTGAAAAAATATATTATGTTTAGATTCCTATTCAATGCAATCCAAAATTTGATCACTTCGAATATTTGAAATAATCCAAATACCTCATCATCAATGAAATCCTCAATTCAGGAAAGGAAATTCCGTCCATTATTGACCTTTTTTCCATATTTGTGTTTGGACATGTGAATTTCCAGAAACGTTCACAGTGTAACGATAGGGAATGTTTATCGGGTATTAGAATTTAGGGTATCACAGGAGTTGGAGAGAGACTCGTGAAGGATTTAAGATTGTAATGGAAGAGTTTTCCTTCTCAACTGAACTGATAGACCCGAGTAAGATGGATTGTACGCCATTTCGAAGTGAAGGTTGCAGGAAAGCTGGAATAGGGTTTATCTTGAGTATTTCTTTATTTTGGCAAGTTTTTAGTATTACCAGTTCCAGTACAGAACACGTAGTTTGAGTGACACGCTATCGTTGAATAAATTAACGTGCCCCTAATGTGTAATATTCGAAAATTTTTGAAAATAGTTGAAAATATTTGAGAATATCCGAAAGTGTTGGCACTACCGAAAATAAATTCTACATGGGCACGTAAATTGAAAAACCAGAATACAATTTCATTCTTCGTAGGAAGTTTGGTTTTCGAGAAAACAGAATTTGAATAAACTTCGAGTATGTGTGGTCTTGAATACAACTCGGACAACATGTCTTACCGTTACTTGCCATTTCTACTTGCCGCAAGCACAAGTGCATGCATATAGGAACCATTTTCAATGTCAACCTTTTCGAAAACGGAGCCTTATATAAACGAATCTTATTCTACGTATTTGTACTTCTTTCCCCATGCGGTAACATTTGGTTCTTATTTGCACCAAAATTCCGAATGCATCGAATATGAAACGTATATAAATTTAACGTACGTGTAATTCAGAGATATAAAAATAACAGTCAATATTCTGATGATCACATTTATTAAATTTTTAAACTATTAATTATTATCCTTCTTACTTTTAGAACGTTGTTCCTTATATATATGGAAAACAGTCTATGATATGTTCACCAATTACAATCTCTATCACGTAATATCTAGCTGCACACCAATATCTGATCGGTCCAATACTATAAAAACACATATTCCATCAGTTTAATGAATCTGATAAAATCTAATATTCACGATAGCATGAAAATAATTGAAGAAGTTCCACATAATACAAATATCTAAGAATTTCCTCTGCAGAAATCGTGAAACGGGCAATCATTATTATTTTAGTAATCAAAGAAGGCGTGTGCTTCAAGGAAGTCGAATAATAATTCCCGACAACCAACTAAAATATACACACGAAACCACAGATTTAATTAACCGTTTTTTTTATTCGAATCATTCGAATTAAACCCAACTATAGTGTCTCACATTTTCACAGATAGCTCACGCAAAAATCAAATGGGGTACGTTTCAAATTCCGCTCGTTTACGATTAAGGATAAAGGACGTCGATCGAATCCGATTTCATCGGAGCAACGAGAACCAGTTCTCGAGCTTGTATCGATAACCGTTTCCCAAACGAAGGCCACCAGAGCCTCCAAGAGGGAGCGGGTAGGGGGTGGCTTTAAAGTTTCCGATGATCGCGAAACGTGATAAGAAAGCTCGATTGTCAGTGGAATAGAGGATTGCGAGGACGAGGAGGACGGCAAAAACGACGACGATCCTGAAAAAAAGGGAGCGTGGAGGGGAGGGTGAGGAGACACGATGAAAAAAAATACGAGAGATCTCAACTGGAATATTCCCGCAGGGCTTTATCGCGTGCCCGGGCATTAACGACGCCTTGCGACAGAACGAACCGGAAATCCTGGGGAACCGCAGGCTGTCGCCCTCCGTGATGGGATAAGTCGCGTGATTTCGTTTCGTCATTTTCGCGAAAGCATGCAGGAAGGACGGGCTATCATTTTCTACCGTGGACAAAGGATAAATGTAATTCACGCTCGGTTTCAGTCGCGATTGGAGAAAACTTGAATGGAACTGAAACTGTAGATGTAACGTTGAAAATGGGACCTGTGATTCGGTTTGGTCGATCGAGAACCTTGAAACTTTCGAACTGTGTGAAAAGTTTGAATTGTCTGAACTGTGTGAAACTGTTTGAAATGGTTGAATTGATTAATACGTTTGAGGCATTGTAATTGCTTGAAGTTTTTGAACCATTCGAATTATTTGGAACCTTTGATCTGTTTAAAACATTTGAACTATCTGAAACGGTTGAACTGTTTGAGACGTTTGACATATTTGAATTATTTGAAACCTTTGAACTGTTTGAAATAATTGAATTGTTTGAAAACATTCGAGTTATTTGGAACCTTTGAACTGTTTAAAACATTTGAATTATTTAAAACGTTTGATATGTTTGAAACGTTTGAACTATATGAAATGGTTGAATTGTTTGAGACGTTTGAACTATCTGAAATGGTTGAATTGTTTGAGACGTTTGACATATTTGAATCATTTGAAGCCTTTGAACTGTTTGAAATAATTGAATTGTTTGAAAACATTCGAATTATTTGGAACCTTTGAACTGTTTAAAACATTTGAATTATTTAAAACGTTTGATATGTTTGAAACCTGTAAACTATCTGAACTAATGACCTCCGGTCGAATGATTTTTTTTATTATTATAAAGAGTTACGATACGAATCCGAGAACGTTGTATCATTTCCATTTACGACTCAGAAACGATGAGACGCGGACATCTTCTAAAGCCACTCACCTTGTTGAATATCTGCTTCAACCTGACCCGAAATATAGGAGGTTGTGTTATTGGTTATCGGAGATTCGGAGCGACCGCATTTCCTGTATACGCATTACTTAGCGAATGTATATATAAAGAGAAAGTTGATAAAAGCATCTCGAGGCGCATCGATTTCCAAATATCGACGGTACCGTAAACATTGAGCATTTCCAAACAGAGAATCCGCGAATCGACGTATAAACTGTTTCCTTACTCGATATATTTTATGTATTAATACTACTAACGAAACTGAAAATTAAATCAGTAGCTGTGTGTGTATTTATGTTACGTTGAAAATATCGAAAATTGATTAGTCACTTGTTCCATACATAATGCATACAATATATTAACACTAGAACTACCAAGTAAGCCAACATGATTTGACAATACACTCGTGCAACGATGATTAAAATGTTATTTTCTCAGATCTTTTGTAACTTTTATTACGATACGACATTAAAGAAATTAATTAATTTATAAATTTCTAAATTTTCAAAAGTTTGCTATATTTATCCATCGATCGAAAAAAGTATGCGTTCATCGTTTGTAGTTCTAGTGTTACAACCTGTATGTATTATGTACAATTAGGTTATTTACATAGTAGAGTATACCTAACTTTGTGTCAACTCAGATGGACCTTCTTTTGATTCCAAAAATTCTTCAAATTATTGTGCGTAACCTACTAATATTTATCGAAAAACGAAATTACCGTGTTAACCTTGCGTCATATAAAACCACGTTCTCTAACATGCAGTGTAGGCTCAAACGGATAGTGATACCACCCGATGGAAGATGATTCTACATGCAAAATAGAGTCGAGAATGTGGAATAAAATTTTTTCGTATGATGATTCGTTTCCGAGATAATTGCATTTGAAAGTCTACTGGATACGAATGCAATTGAATAAGACTTTACTACCACGTCTGTTTATTCCATTCCGTTTCTACTTGTCAACACGAATTTTCAAATTCATTTATCTCGGAAACGAAGCATCAGGCGGAAAAATTGTATTGTAGGTACGTTGTCGACTTATTTTCACATGTAAAATCCAGTTATACTACCTGCCCTGGCCCGTCATGTTTAATCCCCTATTACATTAATCCTCTACTAGCCAGTGTAACTTTGAAGTCACACACCAGTTCTGCCATTATCAATCAAACGAGAATGTCTTTTTCCACAATTAACCAATGTAGTAAGTTCAACAAAAAAATTTAGAACACATTTAGAGTCATAATTAAACTAAATCTGTGACCTTAAAGTCATGAGTAGACTGCGGAACGTTATGCAAATTCAGATCATTTAAGCTTCATTTATTGAGCTGATATTACGTGAGTGATTTGTTTCTTTTATTAAAGGCTTCATTGGGTCTAAAATGAAATAAAATTTATTCTATTCGTTACTAGAATTTTTACTCTATGGTATTTAACACGTTCATGATTGCAATAAATTTATCAAATCCGTAGTCTAAATCCCATTTTCAAAAAAGAACCTAAAACCTTCAAAATTGGAAATCCAAGTTCCATATGTACAACTGGTCAGTATTAAACAATATCTACATATCTGGGACCCACAGCCAGGGTGTATTAAGTCGCACCTTTAAATCAAAGGTACGAAAACCTTATAATTATGGAACCGTTCGGTAAAAATCGAGCGAGAAAAAATCGGTTCCGTCTACTATCGAATGGATTTAAGAGACAAATCTCTATATCTAGAAATAGTGAAATTTGCATTAATTCCTGCATGCGATGCACTTCAGATTGATCTAATCATATGTACTTAATATAATTTTTAGACTATTATCTACCTATATT